AGTTATAATCAAAGGATTAGAAGAAAAGTGGTTTGATGTAATTTTGAGGCTTAGGGGGATAATGATTTTATGAATCAGCTAGTACTTCTCTCAAAGAAAAATACACTGCACTTCCACTACAGTGTAGATGTACTATATACCATACCTAAATGTCGTATTCCTCCAGCATCAGTTATAAAATGAGCTACTGTTTAGCTCATACCTTGATCACTTTTTTACTAGGAAAAAAAATCATTAATTTTAAAAGAAAAAAATTAGAGAAGGTGTGGAAGAAAACTAGAGATGGAGACATCCAATCCTAAGGTCTCTCATTTGAGATGTAACACTATCACACTGGGGGAGACTTTTGAATGCAATTCTCAAACACTAATATGAGCAATGAAAGAACCAAAATCCCTTTCTTCATAGAGTTAACAGGATAATGGATGATAATTTCCAGAGGGACGAGAGCTATTTAAAAGAGCTATTTAAAGATAAAAAATAATAAATAAACAAAAGGAGGCTAATAGAATAGAGACTACTTTGGCTACCCTAGCCTAGGAGTTTAAGGATGGGTTCTCCAAGCAGGTAAGAATGGAATTAAACCTGAGTAATTAGAAACACTCAGCCATGAGAAGATGTAAGAGGAGAGTGGGCCAGGTGGCGAGAAGAGCAAGTGCAAAGATCCTGTGGGAGAAACAAGCTGGGCATGTGGGAGAAACAACACACACACACACACACACAAAAACCAATGTGGCTGAAATAAGCAGGGAAAGGGGAGAATTGTATAAGATTGCAGAGGTGTATCAGGTTCTGCTTGTTCAGTGCTAGAACCAAGAACCTAGAACCATGCTTGGTATTGAATAAATTTCTGTCGAATGAATGAATGAAGTTAAAATTTGAGTAAGACAGTCTCAAAAGTTCCTTCAGGGCAGGGACCAGAACGTGTAGGGCTTTGCAGGCCAGGGTTCCAGGAGTTTGGATTTTATTCTAATCACCGGGGAAAGTCATTGAAGGCTATTAAGCCTGGGAATTATATGATCCAATGTATGCTTTGAAAACATCATTCTTGCTACTGTGTGGAGAATATACTATAGATATGCTGAATATCTTCCATTGCTCTTGTAGATCTGCTCTACCTTCTCCACCTGTGTCCCAGGAGGCTGACCTATATAGACTCTACCCTCTGGCTTCTAGTTGTGTTCAACCAATGGCATTTTCAGCAGGCTATCAGGAGAGAGGCTGTCTTCAAATTGAGTACCCCATCTATATCCTGCTAGGACCGAACTGAGAAAACTAGAGACTGGTTAGGAAGCTCTGTAGTAGTCTAAGCAAGAGATGATGATATCCTAATTTCTTATTTGTTGTGGAGGTAAAGCTTATTTATTTTGGAGGGACATCTGAAAGTATTTGCTCATGGATTGAGTGTCAGGGAAGAGGTGGTGGGAAAAAGGAAACTCTCAAGACATTTCCTACGTTTCTGGCTTGGATATGGCACCATCAAATAGATGGGGAAGACTAAGAGGAGAGCAGATTTGGGGCAGGGATGGAAAGGCAAGATCAAAAGTTCCATTTTGGACATATTTAGGTCAAGATGCCTGTTTGCATTTAAGTGGTCATGTTGAGTAAGCAGAGGGGAGAGGTCAGAGCTTAAGATTGAAATTTTTGACTCACCAGCATAAACTTTGTTTTTTCCAGACAGTTACAATTTGAACAAAATTACATTAAGTTCATGGAAAAATTTTAATAATTCATAGAATGGAAAGAATTGTGAAGAACACAGTCCCCAAGTTTGGCAAATTTTAGGAATCAGCAATCCACATGGTTAGTTGTATAATTTATAAAGGAGTCCCAAAGAAGGGCTGAATGGTAAAGGTTAAAACTAATCTGATGATAGAATAACTGGGTGGTTGGAAGGGAGGATTCAACAAAAATAAGGGAAGGCTGAACCTAAGAAGTCATACAAAAGACTATAAAACCAAATTTAAAACCTTAGCTGTCTGTATAACAAGAAGGCATACTTTAAGTAAATGGAACTCTTAGCCACTAATTTAAATCTCCCCCAACCACCAACTTCAATTCCACAAATATTTATTGAGGATTTACATTCGTAGAAGGTACTCTGCTAGGCAGTGTGGGTACAAAGTGCATTGCCGAAGTAAAATCCTTTGAGACTTTATTGAACTGCTACTAAACGAGAACTAAAATTAAGGTTTGCTTCTGCAATCAATGAAAAGGCCAGGGAGCCATTGAAATGAGCCAGAGAAGCCAAAGGCCTGGCGCACTCACAGCTTGAATCATTAGCTCTGAGGCTCTAGATTTTTCCTCAATTAAGGCTCAACAACATGCTAGACAAGCCCTTGGAAGGAACTGTTTGGATCTGTGATGGGTAACAACTGGCCGCAGACCACCTCCTACGGTCTACCTCCACACTCAGCTTGGTGGCACAGCTTAGAAGCCAGGTTCAAATGTAGCCTTTTGGCTCTGAGTTCAAAGGGTCTAGGGAGAACACATTTCCAGGGCCATCCCAGTGCAGATGAACTATTTGAGAACGTTGGTGCCCAACCTGGATCATCAACCTGCTCCTGCCCATCAGGGATAGTCAGGGAGTGGAGGCAGAGGATTGAATTGCAAAGCACTGACCCTCCAGCTGGGGGGGGGGGGGGGCGTGAGACCAGGCTCTGGCTGGCTTGGTGCTTAGGAGGCCTGGGACCCTCAGCAGGAAGCAGCCCCAGAATACCCTCCCGTGGCAAATGGAGAGCAGCTCCTACAGCCACAGGAAAGAGAAGCTGAGCTTGGGCTCGTTCTCCAGCTGGGTCCGCCACTCCCAGCCCAGAGCAGATGCTCAGTAGGAGCTGGGTGAATGTTGCACAGAATGGAGGTAAACCAGTTCCGGCCCCTGTGTGGCCTTCATTGAGTCACTTCTCCTCTCCAGCCTCAGCTTCTTTATCTGTAAAGTGGGGATAAGATCTACCTCATTGGATGGTTTTGCCTTTACCATTAGCCTTCTTTTTATTCAGTGGTTAGGTAGTTGAATCTAGCCATAAGAAAAGACATTTTTTTTCCTTTGGGATTCAGTAAGATTATTTTCAAACCAAACTTCTAAAATTTTAAATCCAAATGAAGGTTGCTCACCACTGGTTTGGTCAGAAGGCTCTAGGGTTAAAAGCCCTAACTAGACAAAGTTCACACTTTTTTAACTTCATTATCCAGTAGTTCTGTGACCTCCAGCCACTCACAACTACAAACAAAGGGCAGGTTTGCATGGGCGGAATCCGAAGAATCACTGGTTTTAACAGAGGCTTCCCTGGGTTGTACGCGCCCCTCCATGTTTATTTTATTCCCATTGGAATTGGTGGAGGGGTAGAGAGATGGTTCATTTGGAGAGATGGTTCTCAATCCTGGTTGTACAGAATTACTTGGGAGATTTGTTATTATTTTTTAATTTTAAAATCTGACGCCTGGGACCCACCTCCCAGAGTTTCTTTTTTTTTAAGATTTTATTTATCCATTTGAGAGAGAGATTGAGGGCACGAGCAGGGAGAAGGAGCAGAGGCAGAGGGAGAAGCAGGCTCCCCACTGAGCAGGGAGCCTGATGCAGACTTGATCCCAGGACCCTGGGATCATGACCTGAGCTGAAGGCAGACGTTTAACTGACTGAGCCAGCCAGGCGACCCCCTCCCAGAGTTTCTGATTTAATGGATCTGAGATGGGATCCATCTAGGCTTCAGTACTTTTGAAAAGCTCCCAAATGATTTTAAAGTGCATCCAGGGTTGGGACCACTAAGAGAGGGTGACGGCGGGGCCACAGCTGCATTCTGACTATACTCAGTGTATCACCATCCTAACCTTGACCCGTGAGCACAAATCCCCCTTGCAGTTCCAAGTACAGCCCACTGAGCACAGACCTCCCCACCCCCCAAAACACACACACACAAGTTCTGAGAGGCCACTGCTGCAGCCGGAGCCTCTCCTTCAGCAAAAGCTCTCAGGTTTGTATAACCAGGCTTAATCTCCCAGCGAGACCAAGGGCAGCAGGTGAAAGCAAAAGGACTATTCTGGAAGAAAGCAGAGCACTCCCTAGAATGTTGCCAGTAAAGTATTCCCAGCAGAGAGTAGTCATCAGTTGCTGATCTAAAAATGACGAAAGGTTGGATCCAACTAAAGATGACAGAAAACCCAAAGTCACAATGGCTTAAATAAGAGAAAAAAAGTATTTCTCGCTTATATAAGCCCAGACCATCCAGGGTCCGTGTGATGGCTTCACAATCAGGAAGATGGGCTGCTTCCATCTCTTTACCTATCACTGTCCAAGACGGGGTGGGGGGCGGGGAGGGGGCTGTTAAATTTTAGGCCTCATGTTCACATTCCAACCAGCAAGAAGGAGAAAGGGAAGGGGGGAATGTCACCCTCGTTTTAGGGTCATCTCCCTGAAATTACACACCACCCTGCCATGTATATCTCATTGGCCAGCTCTGAGTCACAGGGCCAGGTGCACCTTCAGGGAAGATCGACAAATATAGTCTGTATGCTGGGAAGTCGTGTGCCCAGCTAAAAATTGAGGGTTCCTTTGCTATTGCAAGGGAGGGGGCTATGGGACAACAGCCAACAGTTTGGGCCTGAGAGCACCGCCCCCCTGCCTCGTGCAACGGGGCTGTAACTATTAAGTTACATGTCAACAATGTGCTTGACTGGGGTCCCACTGAAAACCACGGACATAAGACTATTTTCCTATATCCCAAATTCCAATGGCTCTAGTTCCCTCCCACTGCCCTGAGAAATCACCAGTCCTACAAGAAAAGTGTTCCAGGGGAGTTCTTCCGGGAAACCAGGCCTTCCATCTAATGTCCCTCCAATAGGGTAGAATGGGTGTTTACACTTAGAGAGAAAGACCTGCCTTCCGTGCAGATTAATTCTTGAAGATTTACACTGATGGCAGGAGCCCTCTCCTGTTCCTTCTGGAAGCTGCACAGATTACTTTCACTGGGTCGTAAATATGTTTAATACCCTATTATACTAACCTTTTAAACCAGTTGTCTTGGGGGGCTGCAAATCGTAGTTGAGGAACAACTTTCTATGATTTAAAGGCCCTTGAAATTCCTGGATGCTCTAGTTAAATACTTGAAATTAAGATTGGAGGGTGTAGATCTTGCTGCAAAATTCATTTCAGGGAAAGGGAGCAAAATCCTTTGGGCCGGTTCTTGGTTTTTCTTCTTCTTCTGTTGTTTTTTCCACTCTTTACTCAGCCAAGACTAAGATAAGGATTGGCAGGCAAACATACCACTGTCCTAGGTTAAAATGACTTTCTCTTCCTTCCCCAGTGTTCCAGGACCTGCGGAGGGGGCATCCAGAAGCGTGAAGTTCTTTGCAAACAGCGCATGGCTGACGGCAGCTTCCTGGAGCTTCCTGAGACCTTCTGTTCAGCCTTGAAACTGGCCTCCCAGCAAGCCTGCAAGAAAGATGACTGTCCCAGCGAGTGGCTCCTCTCTGACTGGACGGAGGTATGTATGTTCCTCAGAAGGAGATCCTGAAAGAGACCTAAGGAGGAAAAGAAGGCACCCCAAATTTACACAAACAGAAGATGAGAACAGAACGAAATAATCCTCCTAGCGTTATGGAACAGTATTTTTGTAACCGGTTATACCACAATGTGTAACTAGCTATTAACTAGGCTGCAGGGACCTGAGGTAAGCAGCCAGCCCTTACTCAACAATCAGAAGCATGGAATTGTAAACAGGGCTCCTCATGAAACAAAATCAGGTCTTGTCTGGCCCCGAATTCTTCTCAGAAGACCCTGTTGTTCTACCTTTATCCCCACACCCACCTTCCCGACCTCCCGGCACCTCCTCCTCCCAGATGTTTTTAGTCTCTACTCAGGAAGGGCAAAGCCTCTCTGGTTATTCCCTTCCAAGTTACTGGACAATAAGGAACATGATTTATTAAGAAAAGAAGGCCAGGGAAATCCTGCCTCTTTACTGTCAGTTTCCTGGCTCCAAGACTTTAACAACTTCCCAGCAAGAGAACTTGATTTCCCCTGTTGCTTGCATTTGGGGGGATGATTAAATCAGCATCCACCATTCCTGACTTGCCTCATAAGTTAGGGATATACCCCCAACTAACCTACTTTTCTAAATAATTCCTACTTGAGCACTAGCATAAATTAAGTCATTTACACCCAGCTCTCACTGGTTTTCAGCCCCTATACTCCTGCTGTGAATTGTGTACAACTCCCCCAGCTTCATAGGCATGCGTGTCTCCCATAAAGAAGTCCCCCCAAAAGTATTGCCTCCTAAGCAGATTTAGCCAAGAACGGAATCGCCAGGCCTGGAGTAAAATCTTTGTGTCAGGAACAGATTCAAGACCCTGCCCTCTCTTGCACTGAACCGTTAGAACGGGCCTTGCTGAACCCATTGCCTTCTTGGTATGGTTGTATGTGTGTATATTGTATGTACACAACAGGTTGAGGCTGCTGTGGGTTGAAACGCAGCACAGGGACACTTGCTTCCACAGAGGGAAAAGCTGCCCCTGAAAATTAAGATGCCACCTCTTTCAACCTCAGTTCTTAGAATTCTTGCCCCTTATCAACTCACGTAGAGTTCCCTCAGATGGTGTCTACTAAGGCATTGCAGGGGTGAGTTAACCTACATCATCATAGGTTTTATAATCTGGCAAGAAAATTGCCTTCTGGTGGTGTCTCACCCCAAGTGTCTCAGAACAGAAGTAGGAATGATTATTTTTCTCAAATTTTGGAAACAATTTTCTTTCAGCAGGATAAAAGATCAAAGCATGTAAAATCAGCATGCGTGTGTTTGCGCGTGTGCACGTGCGCACATGCACATGTTAGTGCCAGTTTTTCCATGGAATGTTGATTTGGGGTATGGTATTTTTTTTTTTAAAGATTGTATTTATTCATTTGACAGAGATAGACACAGCGAGAGAGGGAACACAAGCAGAGGGAGTGGGAGAGGGAGAAGCAGGCCTCCCGCAGAGCGAGGAGCCCGATGCGGGACTCGATCCCAGGACCCTGAGATCATGACCTGAGCCGAAGGCAGACGCTTAACAACTGAGCCACCCAGGCGCCCCTGGGGTATGGTATTATATGGGAATAATCATAACAAAACTAACAGAGCAGGAGACTGCACTAATGTAGTTGCCAAGTGAGTGGCTCTGGATGAAGACTTCCTCCCAGGGCCATATTGTAAAAGGTGTCCTTCCACTAAGTCTATGGGTGATGGTTGCCATGAGTGGGATGCTGAGGAAGGGGCTTGTGTATTATAATTGTCCTCCCATGTTCCTGGAGTTTGTGGCCTCTGAGCACATGGGACACAGAGAATTCAGAAAAAATCCTTTTAGGCCTGTAGATTTGAAGCAGGGACCCTTGTGATTAGGCACTAAGAAAAGGAGACTGCTGAATTGAGGTCCTCTGGGGCCCATTAAGTATCACAGACCTTTAGAACAGTGTCATGTGTGCTTAGGAGTTAGACTCACAGGGGCGCCTGGTTGGCTCAGTTGGTTAAGCATCTGATTTTGATTTTGGCTCAGATCGTGACCTCAGGGTTGTGAGATGGAGCCCCTCATTGAACTCTGCACTGGGCATGGAATTTGCTTAAGATTCTCTCTCTCTCCCCCTGCCCCTCCCCCATTGCTTGCACACACACACGCTCGCTCTCTCTCTCTAAAAAAAAAAGATTACAAAAGTAGTTAGACTCACAGATAGGCAAACTTAGGTTCTAATCCTGACTCTGCCACCCACTGGCTCTATGACCTTGGGCTCATTACTTAAGCTTTCTAGGCCTCAGTTTTTGTATCTGAATACTGGAGATAATAATATCCACTCATGTGGTTCTTGGGAGGTTTCAGTTAAACGATGCACATAAACTACTTTGTGCCTAGTAAAAGTTACCCTCTTATTGTTATGATTCTCTTCCACCCTGCTCATTGTCAGGAGGAGAGGAAATAAAAGAAAGTGCTTACCTTGACTGGCTGGACTCAGGGTCATGGCCTAGGCTTCCCGCAGGCTTTACCAGTCTTCCTAGGAAGAGGAAATTACACTTTGGGAAATAGGACAACTTAGCCCTTATCCATGGAATGTTCTTAGGTTCTGGGTTATCTCAGTTGATGAATGGAAATTCCAAACATTGGGGAGGGCCTGGGAATGGTAGGAAGTCATCACCTTTTCATTAGGATTCAACTCAAGCTGGTGCCATACAAATGAGCTCTGGGGGTGTTCGTGGAGGCTCTAGTCGGCCCTATCCTCCCAACAGCCCTTTCCTTGGCCCTCTGAGATGAAACACGCATTCCACATCCCCCGCCCCCAAGACTCCCCTTGGAGAAAGGAAGACCTGAATGATCTATGAGTGTTTTTCATCCTCAACTATCTGGGCTCAATCTTACAGTTACTGCACAGAATCCCTCAGAGACAGAATTAAGCCAAAATTTTAGACACTTCAAATAAAACTACTTTCAGATTCTATTCTGAGAATAAGACCCCTTAAAAGTTGTTCTTTAAAAGAATTCCTTGCATCTTTTGAAAGAGTTGGCTATTATGTATTTTTAAATAATATTTTTATGAAAGTCATTTCCCCTAAAAAATATAAAAGAAATTAAGGTCAGAGTAGTCAGTTTTAAAGCTAGAAGGAACTTAGAAGATTCTATAGCCTGGTTGTTCTTTTAAAACTTAAAGCCCCAGAACCCTTTTTTTTTTCAAATAAAATGTAACATGAAGCCAAGAAATAGATAAAATCAGAGCTGTTTTGGTTGAAGAATGGGTTAGGGTCCCAGATCTCCATAGGCTGGATCTCCAGATCACCTGAAAAGCCCCTGAATCACTTCCTCAACATCAAACAGGGTTTAAAAATCCCTACTCCTGCTTAGTGTTATTTTAGAGATATGGAAATTGAGCCTCCAGAAAGAACTAGACTTGACCAAAACCATAAACCAATCTTCGGACACACAGTCTATTTTTCTGCTTGGCAGCCCTAAACGGACCATGCTTTTAAATTTTCCAGGCTCTTTGCCTCCATCCCACCTGATCCCGGGACTTGGTGCTGTCATTTACAATAAAACAAGGGATGGGTGGGGATCTGGAATCCACGATCATCAGGAAACAAAAACAATGGGTTACTTACCTCCATTTTTTGCATCCAAAATGTCTTTCACGGTGGCGTATATCAGAGCTTGCATAGAATTGTTCATTTCAGTGGGTTAGCATATAAAACTTGAAAATATAAGACAATATTTTTTGGCCTTAGTGTCATTTTTCAAGTTAACGTGGCACACTGCCATGACCCCAGTTCAGGTCTTTATCATCTCGAGCCTGGACTACTGTGGCAGCCTCCTTAACTGACATCCCCGCCTGCCATACGTCTCCTACTCCCTTCCCTCCCGGACACTGTTGCCAGATTAACCTTCTCAAAACACCTCTTTCATCATTTCACTCCTCCCTCCAATGGCTCCTCATTGCCTTGTGGACCAATTCCAAGCCTCCTGTCTGAAAATTAAAAGTCTCCAACGTCTGGCCCCAAACTACCTCTTGAGCTCCTGACACTCTCGACTTGTTCCCTCTGTTCAGTCAAACTGGTTTAGCTCTGCCCCCCAGGCCTGCCTTGGATTTTTGCACTGAACTCTTTGACCTTCCTTCTGGATATTCCCCTGCCTCCCATGCTTATCCCCGGTTTCTCCACCCATTCAGACTCTACCCATCTTCAAAACCTAGGCTAGGAAATCACTAGCGTACCATCAGCATTCAACCATCATTAGCATTAATCTTATAATACTTGTCTTGTAGTTTTATATCTCTACTAAATTCTTATATTACTATCTAATTCTTTGAACAGCTTTATTGAGGTATAATTTACATACTATAAAACTCAACTTCACATTATGTTTTCAAGGTTTATCTGTTTACCACCTATCCAAAAGAACAACATTACTTTTATGGTAGAATAATATTCCATTGTATATAGACCATATTTTTGTTTATCCATCCAGTCAGTGGACATTTGAGTTGTTTCCACTTTTTTGTCTCTGTTGAACATTCACACATAAGTCTTTGTGTGGATGGATGTTTGCACTTCTCTCGGGTAGATACCTACGTGAAATTGCTGGGTTATAAGGAAAATTTATGTTTATCTGTGTAAGAAACCATCAAGCTGTCGCCAAGAGGACTATGCTATTTTATGTTGCCACCAGTGATATAGGAAGGTTCTAATCTTTCACATCTACATTTATAATAACATTTGTTACTGTCTTTTTTTATTATGGCCATATTCCAGGGGATAAAAAGTGGTATCTCATTGTGGTTTTGATTTCTGTCTCCCTCATACGGTATTTCATTTTAACAATGCATTTGGATTTCCCCCCACTCATTATGAGATGACAGCTCCTTGAGGTTACAAACCACCTTGCACAAATATTTTTCCATAGTATCTAGCACCCCGCCTCAGACAAAGTAGATGTATGACAATTATCTGATGCTTGACATTAAAGTATTATATTTGTGAAGGAAGGAGGGAAAAATTCACACCAAGTGTCATTGCTGTGTGTGAAGTTTCAAATATATTATCTCATTTAATTCCCAACCTTGCAAACTAAGTGTAAGAAGTGGAAACAGACTCTGAGTTGCCAACCGGTAAAATACTAAGCTGGGATTGGAACGGACTCTATGACTCTGTAACTCTAAAGCCCAGGCCATATAAGTAAAAAACAGGTAGATTGTCTACAGGAAACTTTCGAGTAGAAAAATCTTAGAATGTGCTTACAATATGGACGTGTCTTCCCATCGTGTTACATAACGAATAGTTCTCTCTCTCTCTCTGTTAGTGACTGTTGCTTTTCCAAGCAACTTTTCTCACATTCTGGTGAGTTTGAGAGTCCATACAAAAACCCAGTAGCCTCTAGTTCCCTGCATTTACATGCACGTGGGCCTTCTCTCCTCACCAGTGTTCCACAAGCTGCGGAGAAGGCACGCAGACTCGAAGTGCCATTTGCCGGAAGGTGCTGAAAACCGGGGTCTCGGCTATCGTCAATTCCTCCCTGTGCCCTCCCCTGCCCTTCTCTTCATCCATCAGGCCCTGCATGCTGGCAACCTGTGCACGTGAGTATGTCGGAGCTCTGGGGATGGGGAGACCAGACCCACCCAGAAGCAGCTGTGGCCACGCAGTAGCCTTCCCTAAACCCAAGACCGGTGGGAGATCGTCAGGCAGGAAAGCCCGAGGAGGGCAGCGGGTGGGCAGCGGGCTGGTGAGCTCAGCTGGAGATGGTAAAGGAATCTTAATTACACGGGGCCGGGCGGAATTCTCTTCTCTGCTGGAAAAACAGTTTGCAGGGGGTAGAGCAAAGTTCACTCTCTGGCATAGAGAGATCTGGAAGCTGGAGTCAGCATATTACTAATGAAGTCTAATGCTGTCCACTCTGGGGTTTTAAAATGCTCCAAACAGATTTTTTCTGTTTAATATTAATCCCTAGAGTTATAACACCTCTGGGCTCTCCTCCCCCAGTACACTAGGGCCCTGGTGCTCTGCAGAACCCAAAGGGGAAAGGTGGAAAGGGAGAGAGTCCCTTCCCTTTGTCCTCTGCCTCTTTTTATGATGCTTGCTTTCTTTTTCTTTTTCTTTTTTAATCCTTCTAATGAGAGGTACTGCCTTTCCCCTGGCATCCCACCCTCCCCCAATCTAGAACCTGCACCTCAGCTTCTAGGGGTAGAAAGCCCCAGCGGGGCAATAGCAGGCTACCCCAGTGCACTGCATTAGTTGGCGCATTGCTTTGCAGCAGCTTGATGGTCCACAGCTGGTAGCCACTTCCTCCCTGGAACGCCTAAGGGGGTAAATGAAAGCCCTGGCGGAAATAAACTCAAGCCGCTTTCTCTCCCTCTCTCCCTTTCATGTCCCTCCTCTCTCTCTTCGTCCTCTCTGTTCCCTCTCTCTTGTCCCTGTGTTCACTCTCCTTTTCCTCTGCCGTCCCTTCTCTTTCTCCATCTGTCTGGCTTCCCTTGCATTCCCTTCCTTCCAGGGCCGGGGCGGCCATCCACCAAGCACAGCCCTCACATCGAGGCCGCCAGGAAGATCTACATCCAGACCCGGAGGCAGAGGAAGCTGCACTTCGTCGTGGGGGGGTTCGCCTACCTGCTCCCCAAGACGGCAGTGGTGCTGCGCTGCCCCACGCGGCGCTTCCGCAAGCCCTTGATCACCTGGGAGAAGGACGGCCAGCACCTCATCAGCTCGGCGCACGTTACCGTGGCCCCTTTTGGCTACCTGAAGATCCACCGCCTCAAGCCCTCCGACGCCGGCATCTACACCTGCTCCGCGGGACCCGCCCGGGAGCACTTTGTCGTTAAGCTCATTGGAGGCAACCGGAAGCTGGTGGCCCGGCCCCTGAGCCTGAGGAGCGAGGAGGAGGCCCTCGCGGTGAGGAAGGCCAGCCCGAAGGAGGCCCTGCAGCCGCACAAACACCAGAACGGCATCTTCTCTAACGGCAGCAAGGCTGAGAAGCGGGGCCCCGCCGCTGACCCGGGGAGCCGCTACGATGACCTTGTCTCCCGGCTGCTGGAGCAGGGGGGCTGGCCCGGGGAGCTCCTCGCCTCGTGGGAGGTGCAGGACTCCACGGAGAGGAACACGTCCTCCGAGGAGGACCAGAACGCCGAGCAGGCCCTCTGGCACCTGCCCTTCACCATGGTGACCGAGCAGAAGCGCCTGGACGACATCCTCCGGAACCTCTCCCAGCAGCCCGAGGAGCTTCGAGACGTCTACAGCAAGCACCTGGTGGCCCAGCTGGCCCAGGAGATCTTCCGCAGCCACCTGGAGCACCAGGACATGCTGTTCAAGCCATCTGAGCGGCGGGGACCCCCCGTGGCCATCCCCCCTCATAAGCACGTGTCTGGCTTCAGCAGCTCGCTCCGGACCTCGGCCGCCGGGGAGGCGGGGGTTGGCTCTCGCCGGCCCCACCGCAAGCCCACCATCTTGCGGAAGATCTCAGCTGCCCAGCAGCTCTCGGCCTCCGAGGTGGTCACCCACCTCGGGCAGACTGTGGCCCTGGCCAGTGGGACGCTGAGTGTGCTTCTGCACTGTGAGGCCATAGGCAACCCAAGGCCGACCATCAGCTGGGCCAGGAACGGAGAAGAGGTGCAGTTCAGTGACAGGTGAGCCTTGCTGCTACCGGGTCTGGGAAGGGCAGGGGGCAAGGGGCCACATCTGGCCCCGGGGCGCTTGATTCCCTCTTCCTTCAAGGTGGTTCCAAGGGTAGGGCTTAGAGCCCTGGGCCTCTGGGATGGCATCCTGAGTTTCAAGTCCTCTTTTAGTACCAATAGGACTGCTGGAGCAGAGACAAGGTATTTAATTTCTCTAAACCGTATGCTGTCCTCTTTATAAGGTAATAGCAACAATGCCTATCCACCCCAATCCCCATAGGGTCCCAAAGATTAATGAGATACTCCCCAGATAGCTTTGAACTTTTGGCAGAAAGCGATCATTCCAGGCCAAGGCATTATCACATTACCACTCTGTGAGCTGGACCACTGAAAAACTTATACATCAGGATGCTGTCCCCATGTGTGTGGTCCCCCAGGGCTGGGGAGGGAGGGCAGGCAGCACCTGCTGCTCCCTGTGGGTGAGCCCATCCTCTGTCTGGGCCCAAAAACGCTGTTTGTTCCAGAAAGCTTTTATTCCCAGTCAGACCTGTGATTAATTATCCTAATATCTCCTGGTGTCTCTGTTTTGATGTGTCATTACCAGGATGACAGCATGTATTACTTGCTTCCTTGGGCCACAGCCATTCGTAATGTAAAATCAATAGTGGTGGTAGAAGTTATAATGATAATATTTTTGAACACTGTGTGCCAAGAACTGTGCCATAATTCCTGCCATCCAGTCTCTTTTAGTCAATATGGTGGCCCTGACAACAACAGTGATAGCTAGCCTTAATCGAGAAGTGACTATCTGCCAGGCAAATGTGGTCTTTCTGGGTTTATTTCGCCAAATTCTAACAGTAGCCCTGAGAGGTGGGTACAGTTTTTGTCCACACTTTACGGAAGAGGAAACAAAGCCTAGGAACTTGCTAAAGATCTTATTCACTAGGTGGCAGAGCCAAGGTAGGTGACCCAAACAGGATGGGCGGTCAATGGAAGAATCCTATACTCTGATGACAGAGGGCTCTTTAAGGTCCTCCAGTCCAGGGTCCTTGTTTTAAATTTTTATCTGCTCAGAATCCATGTAGAGTGCTCTTTTCATTAAATAGAATCCTAAATCCTATTATTTGGCAATCTTCCTCCCTAGCTTGCTAGTTTTGGGTAAGGAAAGAAAGCAGCCAGGGTGGGTTGTGCCAGGCAGTTTGCCAGGTTTATTTATATGTAACTGCACTTGTTATTCTAACAGTCAGTCCCCAAGATTGACCTTATCCTCCAGGTTCACATAGAAAATCAAGGTTTAGCAGCTCACCCAAGAAGATCACACTTTAGTAAGAGCCAGACCAAGGATTCAATATCAAGTTTGAGTCCAAAGAGTACACAGTTCTG